GAATAAGTAAATATATTATTAATTCAAACTGTGTTTACTTTGGCAACTGGTCAAAAAACATATCCTTCTCTATGTATGGGATACACAGTTACTGTAAACTGCTTAAAATGAAGAGGAAATGATCTGCTTTTCCTCTGAAATAGCTGATTATACTTGGTTATAGCTGATGATGCCACTTACGAAGACTGAAGTGTGGGAACGAAACGTGGAACACCACTCATGTTTATAGTGCATGTAAGCACCCTGCTTGGCAGCATTAGCATTTGCTCAGTACCTGCTCTGAGGGACCCTTGTGCCTGTAATCTCACTTAATCCTAACAATTCTATGAAATAGTGACTGTGACAAACAATTTAAAGAAGGGAAAAAATGAGGTGGGGTGGGGATAAAATAGCTTCTGATTGTAACACAGGAAAAAAAAAAAAAAAAAAAAGGCAAAGTAGCCATCAAACCATGGTGGGCAAGAGCCTCCACTGCATTATGCTGCCCTTGTGACGGGTTGCTTCGATATGGATTCAATTCCTTTGGAATCCCCATCATTTTTGCTGCTTAATTCAATGGCCAATTCAGCCAGCCTCCTTGCCCTCCCAGCACGCTCCCCTCCAACAGAGCACTCTTAAAACCAATGCGCTTCCCCACTGCTTCCCCATCTTCTACACAGATAACACCCACTAGCTAGCAAAGTCTAACTTTTTGAGAACTACTTGACATTCTTCACAAACACAGGCTTCTGAAACATAGCAGCGGTGCATTGTGGCAAAGACCAGGATAGCAGCACTTAGATTACTAAAACACATTTCATTAGCAGGGATATAAAATACGTCACCAAGATTTACACAGGCTCTTTCTCTGCAATCAGGAAATTGCATTTCCTTGCTTAGAACAGTTACAACAACTGATAAGGTTTTTGGGTTGGTTTTTTTTTTTTTTTCTTTTTTTCCCTCACTGCCTCACTCGTTCACATTCAATTAGCTGGAATCAGGTAAATCCATTTGAGATCAGGGCCAGGGCGCATACAGCCGGGGTTGCTATCACTTTTTATGTCAACATTTAAGGATGCTCTGAATTGCCTCTAGACCTACCTCTGCCTTTCAATAGCTTTGGGAATGAGTGCATTTTTCTTAGGCTTCATGTTCTAACTTTCAGACACTGGTTTAGTCCTTTCGTGGATTCAAGAGGATGGTGCCATTATAATATCTGTCATAGAAACTGACCTGAGCAGGGCAGCACACTGTGCTAGCGGATTAGAACTGCAAGCAGGCTGGAAAAATCCCGGCGGCAGATGGCAATCAAAAGAAAATGATCTTCCAGAATGAAGCCTCTGTATTAGCTCAAGTAAAAAAGAGAATCGGTCATCTGGGTGCATCATCGAGCTTTCCAATAATAGGATCAAGACAAAGAGCCAGTACCAATACAACCGTGATGGAATCAAGATCTCTCTAAATCTAGGAGCTGGCTGCTTCATCTTTTGAGGGCCTTTTTGCTTACGCCTACCAGTTATTTCATTAATTCTTTTCTTTGACTTCCTTCTTAACTTCTTGCAACCTAAGGCTGTTTTTCCCAGGATCTGGGGAGCACCTTTGGAAAGAAACACAAATACGTTTTCAACAGTTTAATAGCCGGTGCTCAGTCAAAGGCTATAAAAATGCAGGAGAGACGTGAAATGTTGAGCTCACACAAGGTTCTTGGCCAAAATGCCGATGAAAAATAATAGATACGAAAAGAAGCCAGGTCGGGGTCTTCTCCACCGATCCCCTAAGGAAGGACAATTTCTTTGCAAATGAAACTGAATACCATCACCTTATTTCAGAGCCGAGGGCTAAAGAGAATATCTTTTAATCCTCAATCTTCACTTTTTAGTTAATGTCGCTGGTATTAAAAATAACAAGAAAACAGGAAAACAAAGACTCAAGAACTCTTAACTCCTTTAATGGATGTATGGATGTAAAAATGCAATTGACCAGGAAAATCAAGCAACAGCAACCAAGACTAGCATTTGTGGATGTTAGCATAACTAAATATATTTTTTTATACTAAGAGAAAAAACATGGATATTACCTAGGAGTTGAATCATCAACTTATTTTAGAAATGAGTATTTTGTTACCAAGATTTTATTCTAGAAAGGAGGGCTGTATTAATGGAAACAGATTGCAAAGCAGAGTCTGCTTTGTGCAAAGAATCCAGGGTTTGATAAAACCTGAAAGTCAAACACAGATGTTAATGGACTATAAACTCTGACAGTCTGCAATAATAGCAGAAAACTTCAAATAGTATTTTTAATAGAAAAACTTGTTAACAACAGGGTCTCTTTTTCCGGTCTATGATCAATCAATTCTCTGTGGCTTTCTTTAAAATTTCATCTTTATCTTTAATTCAATCACACTTATCATACGGATAACCTTGGAAAAATAATTCTAAAACAACTTAAAGCAAGAATCATGCCTGATTGGCCATATATTATACATATATATACTGAGTGGTTCCAATCCAGTTGAAGACATCTGGCCTTTTCTGAATATTTTAGAGAACTGTTTGGACTCCTATGGCAGAGACTGTCAGTTGTTGTGACTTTCTTTTTCCTCTCTTTCCTTTAAAAACAGAATGCTGGGCAGCCAGGTGGCTCAGTGGCTTAGCGCTGCCTTCAGCCCAGGGCCTGATCTCAGACACCCGGGATCGAGTCCCACATCAGGCTCCCTGCAGGGAGCCTGCTTCTCCCTCTGTCTGTGTCTCTGCCTTTCTCTCTCTCTCGCTCTCTCTCTCTCCCTCTCTCTCGTCTCTCATGAATAAATAAACAAAATCTTAAAAAAAAAAAAAAAAAAAAGAAAAGAAAAACAGAATGCCATGTGGATGACCACACCAATAAAAACTGAGTGGTCGGCCTCCTTTAAAGCGGGGGGCTGCCATGTGATGAAGTTGACAAGAGAGTGGAGGTGGTAGCAGCATGGAAACAGTACCATTTCTGGGGAGCATAATGAACAAAAAGGGGTGTCTCCTTCTCCCTCTTTCCTTGATCGTGCTAAGCATACTATAGACAGAAGAGCTGCAGCTAGAGTACCAGTAAGTAGTGGTGCATGTAGAGCAGAGGTAGAGGGGAGAATGTTAGCTTCTATCCCAATTTTGAGTCTCTTGGTCTAGGGGGAGTCTGAGAGAGTGTAGGGTTCAGAAAGTGTGGACTACGCCCCACAATGTTCTCAGCAACCAAGGGCCTGCTATCTTGGTTAAGCTACTCTGATTTTGACTTTTCTTTCTCCTTGGATCCCCTCCCCCAATCTCATTAAGACACAATGATGTTGGTGTGAGTCCTCGAGTAGAATCAGAATTGTGACAATGTTTATCTTAGATCATGAAAAGTAACTAAGAGATGTATTGTAAGGTATTTCCCCCAAATCTCCCAGGTTGGCAGTGACACTGTGAAGGACTTCGTTATTCTAAAGATCCTGAGCCTCACAATCTCTGGTCAGAATATATGTGGGCAAAATATACCAGTGACAGATCCTTATGTAGCATCTTCCTCACTTCCTCCACCAGCCCCATCACCCTGTTCCCAGTCCCCAAATCTCTCTCTCTTCTTAGCCAACTAATTAGATAGAATTATGATGAAAATGTTATTGTTTTTTTTTTCCCATCTTAAGTTACTGGAAGTACAGCCCTCGCTTAGGGGCCCTTTGTCCATTCCCTGCTTCCATTAGCCTTTTTCACTCATTCCACCCTTCCCTCCCATTAGAAGACAATAGTAGAGTTAGAAAAGAATCCATAGGAATCAACTGGGCCAACACTTACTGAGAGACAAAATCTTCCTAGAAATGTCAAGTTAGCCAAAGCCATCAAGTAAATGTTCTATACTCAGAGAAGACTGCTCTCAAAAGCCAGATGACTACTATCTTCCCTTCACTCGATAGCTGCCCACTTTCCATCTAGGTCCTGTCCTCCTTTCTGTCTCTTCTTCTTCATGCCCTTCTGTATTTCTGTCCGGTGATAAGGAAAGAAAAAAAAGGAATAAGGGTAGAAAGGCAATAGAACATGTTTACGAGACAGTGGCTGCCTATAAAGTGTTTTCCCAGATGTTTTCTTCCTTATTCTCCTAAATGAATCTCTTCAAATAATTACACTTCCATTTTTGAGAGGTGGACTATTGTTAGGCTGTGTTCCCAGAATCCTTCAAAGTCCCACCAGAGTAGAGAATCATCTTTTCCAAACCCAACCCCACACCACTTATACACCCAGTAACCAGTAGCAAATCCAAAAGACAAATGCAAGCATTATCCTTTACTTCCCTCAGTGGCCTGCCCTTCACCTCCAATTAACAACTGCTACAAATTCTACAGTATTAATATTCCTTGAACTCACTCTGTTACCTTCATCATTGCTGCTGCTCACATAGACCTGCTTAGACAATGAAAACAACTTTCTAATTGGCCTTCAGTCTCTCACCCTGTCCCTATTTGATACCTTCTGCATCTTATAGCTAGAGGGTTCCTTCTAAAATGCTAATCTAGGGATGCCTGGGTGGTTTAGAGGTTGAGCGCCTGCCTTGGGCCCAGGGCGTGACCCTGGAGTCCCGGGATTGAGTCCTGGGATTGAGGGCTCCCTGCATGGAGCCTGCTTCTCCCTCTGCCTGTGTCTCTGCCTCTCTCTCTCTCTCTCTCTCTCTCTCTCATGAATAAATAAATAAAATCTTAGAAAAAATGCAATCTAGCCACAGATCTATCAATTTCCTCAGTCAATGTCCTAAACTTGAGGATACCAATTTTTAGTAGGACACATAAGCCCCCGTATGATCCAGCCCTGGACAAAACTGTTTGCATTCTAGCACTTATTACATCACTCTACCACCCTACTCTATAGCCCTCTGTGTTAGCTCTAGGTCCTTAAGTGGGACATGCATTCTTTCTACAAATGTTGTCATCTCTGGGTTTACAATCATCGGTAATCAACTCTTTTAAGAATGATCAGAGTCTCCAATTTAAAATTGGTCCCCATTTCCTGTGCTCCAAAAGTTACCTTGTAACTGCTGCTGTCGTACCATCACCATAAGAGATGCAAATGCTTAAACTCCTGTCTTCCCCAATCTGCATCTTAAAGAAAAGATGATTTTGATTACAAATTTTGATTACAAATGTCTAGCACACAGAATGTACATGATAATTATTCAACAGAAATTGGTTCAATTTCTGGTTCAACTGGTTCAATAAAATGATTACATTAACAAAGGCCATGATTTGTGCTACTAGCCATGCCACAATCTACTATTAAATGCTTTTTGAACCTTGACCTTGCTTTTAGCTACCAAGTTCAGGCTAAGCTACCGGTCTACAGCCTACTCATTCCACACTATACCTGCACCAAACTACATACACATATGTACACATGTACATAATGAGATAGAAATGAATAAAGCCCAACTCTGACATCTTGCCTCGAGCTTTCCAACCTCTCACTGATATCACAGACTTTTCTTCTCGGGATGATAGTTGTTGCAAGTAGGCCAGTAACTCATACATTTAAACTTGTTGTATTTTCCATCCTTATAGAGTGAATATCTAGCCCTTCCAAAGTGAGAGCATGATGAATTAACCCATGCCAAGAAAGTTACTGCCCAAATAAGTTGTGAAAACACAGACATTATCTAAGACTTCATGCCCTGTCCCCCACCTAATTTAAAGGAAGAAAATATGTGGAAATGGAAGGATAGGACACAATTAGGCATTATCTCTAGTTGGCATCTGGGCACAGAATTACCAGACCTACTGTAGATGTAAAGGCCAATTGTATAAAAATATATCCAATTGCACAATAAAAATTAGAGAAACAAGTTTGCCAAACAGAGTGAAAAATTTGAGGCTGATAATTGGATTACAGAGGAGTTCTAGCTTTCATTATAGCAAGAGAATGCTATGTGGAAATATTCATTTTTCCCCATTCTTCAGCTACTGAAATGTATGCGTACCAGTGATCCCTTTGAAATTGCTTTGTATAGACTCCTAAATTACCTATTAATCTCAAACAAAAGGAAACATTATAAAATGACAAAAAGTCTTTAAGAATTCCAGCTGTCTCCTTTCTGTCTAGAATACTTTCACAAAGTGCTAATGTGACCCTACTGAAAAGACAATAATGAACAACTAAAGCTAGAAATTAACTGCCTTCTTCTGGAAACCACTTATTTCAAAGAAGTTTGTATTGCTAGTTCATGTTGTTGCCACAACACCTCAATACATCTTAAAAAATATATAGATATACTCTTTCTCATGGTAAGTGGTGTGGATCACTAACTTTATAGGCTCCAGTTTAAGTAATTCTTGCTTCAATTTGTTTGGATCAGACTATCGTCGCTGGTAGAAGCAGTAGTGGCAAGCTCTGCATTGGTTTCCTCTGCTTGAGTGTAAAGAAGGCATACAATATCTCTGTAGGTTAATTAACTCACATTTTCTACTTTGCACACTACTTTTTTATTATTATTATTCATTCATGAGAGACACAAAGAGAGAGGCAGAGGGAGAAACAGACTCCCCACGTGGAGCCCGACGTGGGACTCGATCCCAAGACCCTGGGATCACACCCTGGACCAAAGGCAGACACTCAACCACTGAGCCACCCAGGCACCCCTGCACACTACTTTTTAACACACTTCTAGGCCCTAGAACTATGGCAAGTATCATGGAAGACCTCACATGCTGGAAAAAGCTCTAAGACAAAGATAAGGCGACACACATAGATAATTAGGAAGGGTCATTGTAATATAATGATGGCAGGCAAGATAGGAATTTTTCATGAAATGATGAGAATTTGGTAGAAAAACCTGGGGAAGACACAGAACCAGGGCCTCTGCCCCTGGAAACTCAGCAACCATTAATTAGACTATATCCACACAACTCTGTGAAGGTGTTATACTTAAGTATTTCACTATTAATGACAACAAATGATTCACTCCTATGCAACCCATTTAACAATCTTTCTAAAGACTAATTTTTAGAGGCAATTGGAGTCTCATGAGCAAGGAATTGAGCTAGTTACAAAACCAAAGAGGGATCGGGTAATGCATTTTTACATGATTAAAAGTTTTACTTTTAAGAAAGCCAGTATATAGCTTACTTAGTCTAATCATTTCTTGTCCCATAATATTTTTATGGGCATAGCTACAGATGACCTTTAAAATCATGTTACTATTAAGATCAAATATGGCACTCTACTGAAATTGATGGTCATGGTGTTAATACAATCTGAAATGGAATACGGAATCTACCTAAATTTGCCCTTTATCAAAAGCAATACAGCATTTGGACACTGATCAGATCTGTAGGCAAGATATTCAGTCACAAGCTATTATTAAACATAATTTACTAGAGTGAAACATTTCACACTTAGAACCATTTCAAATAATGGGCATAGGGCAGCCCGGGGAGGTGGGGGGGCTGTTCAGCGGTTTAGCACCACCTTCAGCCCAGGGCATGATCCTGGAGACCTGGGATTGAGTCCCACGTCAGGCTCCCTGCATGGAGCTTGCTTTGCCCTCTGTCTGTGTCTCTGCCTCTCTCTCTCTCTCTATGTCTCTCATGAATAAATAAATCAAATCTTTAAAAAAATGGGCACAGGTATCTTTTTTTTTTCTTACATTCTCTGAGAAGATCATCTTTACTGCTTTTGAAACATAAATCACATATATTCTATGAAATACAGGAAGAATAATATGTGATTTAATTAGTTATTAAGCTTTTCCTGCCTTAATTATTTGAGTGTTATTTCTTCTTTTTGGCTCACATAAAGTCAAAGATTTGGCACCTGCCTTTTTTTAATTTTCCCTCCTCAACTTTTTACTTCAAATTCCAATTAGTTAGCATACAGTGTAGTATTCATTTCAGCTGTAGAATTTAGTGATTCAACACTTACAACACCCAGTGTTCACTGGCACCTGAATTATAAAACTAAAGCAACATAACTCTGTGTTTTCTCAAATGTAGTTATAATAGTGTATCAATGGGTCTGAAGAAATCACTCACAATTAGATGTAAATTGGCAGGAGAGGTTAGCACAGAGTTCTAACAAATTTAATATTCTTTCTTAATTATAAAACATCACAAGTTTTAAGAAGTTTTAATAGCTGGGAACTATTTCTGGAAATCATTACTAAATACTAATTGCAGCCTAATGATTCTTCCTAAATAGAGAAGGCATGAAGTATACATACATACTTGATTTTCTGTGAACAAAGTAATTTAGCACTCATCATTAGAGTCAGAGCTTAAAATAAAATTGACAATTAACAAAGGACAGTGGGTGGGCAATATAACCTAATAAAAACATTCCAACAAGTAATATTATCCACCTTAAAGTCTGATCCTTGTTTTAATATTGATGTTGAACAACTCAATCTTGAATCTTTGAGCGTTACTGCATTACTGCATTACCATTATATGCCTTTGAGCATATATATATGGATGGACAGTGCTCAAAGGTTGAATATACATATGTAATTATATGTACTATTATCTCTTTTTTAGCTTGCAGAATAGACATCAAAATATGAGAGTATCGATTCAGGACCACTGCCATTAGAAGTGATACGGGAGGGGCATCTGGGTGGCTCAGTGGTTCAGTGTCTGCCTTCAGCTCAGGTCATGATCCCAGGGTCCTAGGATTGAGTCTCAGATCAGGCTCCCCACAGGGAGCCTGTTTCTCCCTCTGCCTATGTCTCTGCCTCTCTCTATGTCTCTCCTGGATAAATAAATAAAATATTAAAAAGAAAAAGAGGTGATATGGGGAATGTATCAAAACTGTTCTTAACCCATTAAACAACAGGCAAATCATCACCACAAAGTGGGAGGAAAAACCCTGAGGTATGAGACAAAAAAAAAATTATGAATCTCAACTTAAAATTTACAGTACTTTACTATAAAAACAAATTTATGAAACTTTTTATTAATATGAAAGATAATTCTATAACTGTTTCTTCAAATTTGGGGGAAGTCACAAAGGGTTGCTCTCAACAATGTCATAAACATTTTGAAACCCCCTTCCAGAGTTTGCCTATAATTTCAAAGTGCTGATAGATATACCCACACTCATCCAAGGCTTCCATCGGGTCCAGATTAATAAAACTATTTTACAGAAAGCTATTTCTTATGTGCATTTTCATCTTTTATTGTGGGTGATATCTGTAACTCTTTACTTATACCAATTATAAATAAATCATTTGATAAGCTCTGATAAATATATACACCTAAGTAATCCCAACTTTTCTCAACAAAGAGAACATTGTCATCACCCTAGAAAGTTCCTTTATGCTCTTTCAAGTCAATTTCTGTTTTACTTTCTGACCCCCACCAGAGGCAACCACAATCCTGATTCTTTTTCCACCAAGATTAGTTTTGCCTAGAGCCGGACTTCATATAAATGAAACAATACAGTGCATCCTCTTTCATGGATGTTCTCTCAGCATTGTGTTTTTGAGATTTAACCCACTTTTTCTCTGCATCAGTTCACTCTTCTTCCTACTGAAACACTTGCCACTGGACTCATTTCTCACCTGTTGATGAACCCCTGAGCTGTTACAGATTTTGCTTGTTATGAATAAAGCTGCCGTGAACATTCTTGGGGAAACTGTTTTGCAGGTAGATGCTCTTATCTGTCTTGGAAAAATACTTAAGAGTGGAACTGTTACAGGATAAGCTAGATGTATCGTTTTAGAAGATACTGCCGGATGATTACGCCAACTCCTATTATTTCACACTCCTATAAAGGACATAGGAGATTCCACTTGCTTCACATCCTCTCCAATATTTGGTGTGGTTAGTCTCTTTATTTTTACCTACTTGATGAATAGTTAGCAGTCTCTCTCTCTCTCTCTCTTTTTTTTTTTTTTTTGAAAGATTTTGTTTATTTATATTCATGAGAGACGCAGAGAGAGGCAGAGGGAGAAGAAGCAGGCTCCATGCAGGAAGCCTGATGTGAGACTTGATCCCGGGGCTCTGGGATCATGCCCTGAGCCAAAGGCAGACGCTCAACTGCTGAGCCACCCAGGTGTCCCTACAGTCTCTTATTTTGGTTAAAATTTATTAGCCTGCACTTCCTTGAAGATTTAGGAAGATTTGTGCCTTCACACACTTTTTGGCCATCTGTACATATTCCTTAAGTGTTGAGGTAGTTTGCTCACTTTTTACTGCACTGTGTGTCCTTTTATTACTGAGTTAGAGGTATTTTTAATATATGCTCAATACCAGTCATGTTCAGTACTGTGTTTTACCAATTTATAAACTGGTTTGCCATTTTCTAGTTGTTATATTCTGACAAGAAGTTTGAGGTTTTGATGGATTATAATTCATCAAATTTTTCTCTTAGGATTATTGTTCTAAGAAAAGTTTACCTACCCATAATTCATAAAGATGTTCTACTAGTCTAGTTCTTTTGTTTGTTTAGACCTATGATCCATTCCCAACTAATTTTGTGTGTAATGAGAGCAAGGGGTTGAGGATCATTCGTGTCCATATTCATAGCCAGTTGTTCCAGCACCATTGGGTAAGAAGACTTTTCTTCCTCCATTGGATTTCTTTGCTTTCTTCATTAAAAGTTGGCCACACCAGTGTGGGTCTATTTCTGAACTCTCTCATCTCATATACTGATCTATATGTTTATCCTCATGCCAGTACCTTATCTTCCTGATAACATGGTTTCATGTTAACTCTTGGACAAGCTAGTGGTGATCCTCAAGCTTCATTTTTCTTTTTCAGGATTGGTTTTACACATTCTAGTTTCCTATGTTTTTGAATAAATTTTTAAAAATGTGTTTGTCCATTTCTATTTTTAAAAAAAGCCTGGATGGAGTATTGTGGAATTACATCCAATCTTTAGAGCAATTTGCAAAGTGTCCTATTTCACCATACATGCCCACCTAGCTTTTGAAACATTAGTCCTTTGAAATACCATTAGCCGGATGTTCCGGGTATCATCAGCCTGCAAGGTCACTTTGATCCACTCTGGATTCCATCTTGATCTCTACTATCCTTGCCTTTAATAGCTTCTCTCTCTTACCGCTTTTTATGGAATGGTACCATGAAATGTACCAAGACTGAAGCAAATGCCCAGCCTAGTTCTGGGATTGCTAATTACATAGGTTTCCAAATAGTATTTTGAAATAGCCAATGACCTGAGACTGTGCTCTTCCACAAAAATGTTCATTGCTTCCAGTCTATATTCCCTAAGAGACCAGATTGACTTTCAAAAAAAAAAAAAAAAAAGAAAAAAGAAAAAGTTTATTATTTTTTTGCCCTTTAATTGATAAAATTATGTTTTCCCCTTTTGTGGTCTTAATTGTTATTGCTCTTTCTTGCAATCTTTAAGGAGGATTACAATTAGTAATACTGAAAGCAAAATTGACTAAGTGTTCAATTTCACTAGAAGAAACAGTTCCCACTTAAGTCAAATAAAGTTCTTACTATCTTACCTGCTCCATATCTTTGAACAAAAACACAGCTTTTTTTTCATGAATTCTGCAAGAAAGAAAGAACATACATTGCAAATGAACACTGCCTTAGAATTATTTATCCATGTAGCAAGTGGGGAAAGCAAACGTTTTTGGCTTCTTGATGATCAGCTGCTCCATCTCACAAATACCAAAGAAATAACCATAATGATTTAAAAATTCAGAGACACATCTCAAGCTAACTTTCGCTGCACTATTACTGGAACAGGAAAGGCTTGTAGCTGTTGCTACTGTATAAAGTGATAAGGGTAACATATGGCTTTTCAAAACACATTTCCTGGGGGCACCTGGGAGGCCCAGTCAGACTATTTTGCTCAAGTCCTGATCTCAGGGTCATATGATAAAGCCCCACATCAGGCTCGGTGCTCAGCTTGGCATCTGCTGAGATTCTCTCTTCTTCTCTCCCTGCCCCTCCCACTTGTGTTCTCTAAATAAACACATATATACATAAATCTTCAAAATGTACTTCCCATTCACCTTCAGCTATCTTTTTTAGGTATTTTAACATTCTTTCTAAAACTACCCAGTAACCAAAAGTCCAACCTCACACCTATACAGCTTATTCATCACATTTTCCAATATATTAGAGCAGTACATCCAGGCCAGACACTATGCTAGACTCTGAGATTTAAAACAAAACAAAACAGGTTCATTGCCCTCATGGAGTTTATATTATTCAAAAAGAGATAAACAATAAGCAAGCAAATAAAGTAAAACAACCACTCTAATAAATGCTTTGAAGGAAGTAGCAACAGAGGTTACTGGGCAGATAACTTTAAATAGATTGCCCAGGGAAGGAATATTTGGGGAGAAAAAAAATGACATGCAAGCTAGATCTGAAGGATGAGAGATGTCTGACCATAGGGTACTTCAGGAAGGAAGTAAATTCTTGTATTTTGTATTCTTCTTACATCAAATCTTCGAATGAACATTTCAGGCGTCTGCTTTGGAAAGATTTAAGGTTCCCCACAGTGATGAAGGCTGGGGAAGTAAGAATAAGTAGGGAACAAAGAAGTTCTTCATTAGAAGCTCAGCTATGAAGCCCTGTGGCCTTTGAGACACAACATCTATCTTACCCACATCAGACATACTGTGCCAGGTTGGGATGCAAGAAAGTGGGTCATGTCCACCCACCTGAAGTCAAGAGGGACCTGACACAGTCTTTCCAGTTCAAAAGTTCTATCATTTGAGGGTTATGCAAACCGACTTCTGCTAGCAACTCAAATTAGTCTCAAGGATCTTATTCTGAGGGTGCTCTCAAGTGGTTTAGGCATTGAAGAAACAAGGATCGAGCGGAAAACACAAGGAGATGATAAATCCTATTTCATCTCTTCCAAACAATGATGCAAATCAAAATGCAGAGTCACTCGTGTGACTTCAGAGTACAAAGAGACTGACTCACTTAAAAACGATAAATTTAATAACAACCCGTGGTAATGGGTTTTCATGCTTAATACATTACCAGGCTTTCCTACTTTACAGACAAATAAACTAGAGAATGATTCTCTTTGCATTTTTATTTATTTATCTGAGAATAATGAATTTTTATGTGGCTAAAGGCCTGCCTGGACATAGATAAATTTTAGCCACATTATCATATTGTTACAAAATTCAAGATGGCAAGATTTTGAAGACAAGGAGCAGATACAGAGATTTCAAAGCATCATAAATATATATTCACATTCTAGTTTATTTTTAATATAGTCACAGTTTGCAAAGTCTGTTTTCCCTTTAATTATTTTAGATGTTAAATAAACTTCTCTTAACCTTGACTCATTCTTCATTCAGATTTTTTTAAATATCAGGACATGCTCACAAAAATAGTGTCATATATGTCAGTACTTTATAAACTTAAGATTAGAGATCCATACTGGGTTTTAAGAAACTCACAATTCAGTAACAACTTGGCAACATTTTGGGGATAGAAAGAAGGGAACATATGAATTTATTAACATAACTAATTGCTCTACTTTATACATAGCTCTTTGTTTTGATTTAATGGTGTTAAAAACATTAGAACTTAAGTTTCTGATTCAGAAGACAGCTCCTGTTGCTGAGGGGAGGAATGAGAAATCTGTGAGGACCTCCAGGAGTTAAGAGCCTTTGCTCTGGCTGACTTTTCTACAGCCTGGAAAGCTGGGAAGCCACACTGTGTGGATAAGAAGAGGTAAATAAGGAGGGGACTCGACTAAACCTCATGTGGGAGATAAATGATATCTAAGCTACTAGAACATTCTCAAGTAGCACGGCTACACAAAATACAAGTACTGACCCCAGAACTGATGTTTCCAGTTCTTGGTATCATGAGGAGCTTGGGCCAGAATAGAAGTCAACTCTGTTTCTGAGCATTTTGTTCAGCTGATATTTTTTCCATAACGTAACTTTGTCAGTGAAGGAAGAAGCAATGTGCTGGCTTAGGTTCTGGGATAAGCTCACCATCTAATATTAATTAATAATCTCAGTTCCCAAGCTAGATCTGTCCACAGAGCACACTGTTCATTGCACTGGTCTACAGGAGAAGACAAAACACATGGAATTTAGACTGGTGGCTACAATCCAGAAGCCTAATCATGGGGAACATCCTAATGCCTGAATTATACTTGTTCTATGCAGGAGTCAATAAGCTAGGGCCTCTCTTTGGACCTCTACAGACATTAAATGTAAGTCCCAAGACAAATAGAATTGATATAACCCTGAGGGACACAAGCCATGTGATGACAGGTGATTAGGAAAGAGCAAGTAGCAAGTGTCTATCTCTGGTGCGTGCGCACACACACACACAGTCTCATACACACATAACCACAGGCAGGTACACACAGAGCCACAAAGTACAAATACAGCCACACAGAAACATACACACAGCCATGTATAAAAAGTCTCTAAGTTCCCAATAGATAGACTTCCACCAATGCTAGAGTCATTAGCAGCAGAAAAAGAATTTCATCTAGAATAAGGCACTGTCTGTACCATTGTTAGATGAGGTTTCAGGCCATGCACTTCAGCATGAGAGCCCGAGCTTGCCAGCAAAGCCCAGTGCTGACGGTAGGAACCCTGGGCCTCTGCCTGTATCTCCCTAGAGCAGAAAGTGGCAACATTCTCACCAATAATATCTGTTCACAGTCCAGAGCAGAAGAGATAATTCCAAGGCAAGAAGGACACAGAGGACTAGGCCAAGTGCCAAGGTGCAGACAGGTGCAATGGATGCTTTGAGGAAAGCAGCAACTCATTAGGAAGAGAAGTGGAGTTTTTCCTACTAACAGGAAGACAGAAGAGGTTTATCAAGAGCCACCAACATGAGGCATTTGGGCAGGTGGGTGGTAAAGACAGTGATGAGCATGACAGTACTGAAGGGAAATGCCAGAGCTGGACACAGAGAGGCTCCATGGGGGCAGCAAACCCTATGACTTGTAACTTGGGCTTTTAAACAGCATTTTTCAATAGCCTAATGTGGTCTGGAAGAGACAGAAGTTTGACTTCTGATCAGGAATAGGAGGAAGCAGTTTTGATGCCTCTATTTTATATCTCAAACTCAGCTGTCTGAGGTGCAATAGCTTTCCTAGTGTGCACTGCCCATATTCCTACATCATTTTCTCTCTTCCTAAGGCTACCCTTTGAAGCTCTGATTATATTTACTATCAAAGGGGAATCACAGCAGAGACTCCAGGAAGAGGCTGAGTTTAAGTCATCAACTTCACAAGACTGTTTAGACTTTATTATCAACAATGGCCCCTAGGAATGAGAGAAGTTTGAAGTGGGAGAAAGAAAGTGAGGCTGCTTATCCACAATATGATATAGTCTTATCACATGGATTAGCGAAGTTAGAATTTAGTTCAATTACATTAAGTTGCTAATTACCATATTACTGGCATTAATTTATTACACAATTCTAAAAGAAATTAGATGAAAAAAATCACATTTTTCTTCTCATCTTCTTTCTTGCTTTTCTTCTATATCCCTCTTCCCAACAACAAGAGAAAACTATATTCAAAACACCCTAAGCTGATTAGGTTCTTGTTGTTTCCTCCACATTGCCCCTAATATTTTCCCTTTTGTGAAAGACCTGACAAAAATTATGCTGACAATTACCCTGATTCGAGGGACAGATTCTTTCAGAGCACCAGGGGAGGAAATATTTCTCATAAACAATCTCTCTCTGGCCTCAAACTCATCCCATTAGCTCTGAAGGATGAGGCAACTAATTATACAAGAGGCTGTTGCCAGAATTTTCGACATGCTATAAACCCACTAAATGTAGAGACTGACAAACTGAATAATAAATTATTTCTGTACTTCACATATGGCCTGTGCTCACGTTGCCAAATATTTCATAACAATGGTGAAGTGAAAGCTAAAATAGACCAGTAGCACAGGGGTTCTTCAGGGTAAATGGAGCTAAGGATGCCACAGATCAGAATGCTCAAGCTCAGTAGTATTCCTTTTCCCAAGGTGTCAAGGGTCAGTGGTGAGATGTAGTCCGACTCGATGTTCTAATTGGCGAAGGGCTTCGAATGTTGTCAGGTCTGCAAGGGCACTCAAAGTGTAATAGTGTCCATCTACCTTAACACATTGGTTTTTATTTTTGATCAACTGAATGCTAAGGCTGCATAACTGAGGACTGAAGCCTATTTCCTGCTTATCAACTAATTTTTATTGATTTGTCATTCACTATGCTTTGTTGTCAGTTAAAACAAGAGTCACAGTATTTCCTATGAAGGCAGAATTAAACTCCTGGCTTTTCTAAACAAGTAAACAAGCCAGCTAATTAAAAAGATCATGAGGCATACAGACACCCATCAAAGGTTTTGTTGAAAGAGTAGTGGACTAGTAACAAAAATGCATTTGTTTGTGATTAGGGTGACTATTCCTTTGAAGAAAGATTTCTCTAGCATTGGATAGGATTATTATTAGTAGAGAAGGGAATTAGAAACTTAACAATAAAATAGTCACTGTTTTCTCAAGAAGGACCAATATCTTTGGATGAAAAGAAAGATCGAAACGTATCTGAAG